GGGCGGTCCAGCTTTTTCCCACACCAGGAACGGCTTGCCCGGTCCGAAATTCGCGAGAAATCTTGAAGTACTTTTTTGTACTACGGCGCGAGGAAACGTTGTATTTTCCATCTTAAAATGCAATTTTTCGCTTACTAAACGTTGCAAAGCGGAGGAAGACATCAGTAATGGAATAAAAGGCCTAATTATTCCCCGAGAAGTCGAGTATTCAATTAATGTTGCTAACAACACTTTGCTGGTTTCCTGCTTTTCTAGTTGTTGTTTTTCTTGAGCTGTTAACATACCGTTTAAATTTAAACAACTACTGCGAGCAGTGTTTTGAGCTCAGCTTTCGGTTGACATCCGTTATTTCCTTTAAAGTTCTATTTTGTAATCTCCTTCTATCGAGATATTTTTCTTGAACTGTTGACATGCTGTTTAACTTAATTGATTTACAACGACTGAGCCGCAGAACAGTCCTTTGAGCTCAGTGTTTCGTTTGACTTCAGTTATTTTCTTTAGAGTTCTATTTTCTAATCTCGTTCTATTTTGCTTCATTCGCAACGATGTGGAGTTTGCATGAACTAACATCAACAAGTTTTTCTTGTGTAATTTTCTTTTTAAGCACTGATTTGTGAAGGACGTAACGGCGAAAAAAGATAAATAATTGAAATAATAAGATCAGTATGAAGACAGAGACTGAGATGTTTGAGTATTTTTCACTAAATGTTTCTCGTGTTTTAAGAACTTTCGTTGAAACCGAATTTGAAAGTATGATTTCATTTTCAACAAGACAAAGCATACGTAGAACATCATTCGCCTGTTTGTAAAAAAAAATTTCAAACATCATTGTTTGGTTTGTTTAGTTTATTTCTCTGTTTTTGATATGAAATATCACTGTTTGCTTTGTATATTTATTGCTCTAAGAGATATTTGAAGTTCTGTTTTATCGTTGATCTATCATTTTTTCTCAGACGTTTGCAAACAGAGCATTTTTTTTTTTTTAGTTACGAGTAAAATTTCAACTGTGACGCTGCGACATAGAGCGTGTAGAAGGACTGTTTGCAAACCAGTTTGACATGTTCATTTTCAGAAAGAAAAAAGCAGAAAAAAATGAAACGTTATTCACCGGCTTAGGTCGTATATGGAAAAGTTGTGCCCTCGACCTTGAGTACGTCCCTCGGTCTGCGGCCTAGGCCCGTACTGAAGGCCTCAGGCACAGTTTTTCCCTACACGGACCTGCCAGCCGGTGAATAACATCTATTTATAGATCGTTTTCAAGTGACGTCATCAAATTCTTAAATCCAAACTAAAGAGCCACCAAAGTTTTTATCCTCATTAGGCATAAGAGGTACTCAAGTTATATAACCAGTCGTTTCGCCTACGAGTCGATTCGCCTACATCGAAGTCGTTTCGCCTTCACGATCTGAGTCGATTCGCATACATTGAAGTCGATTCGTCTACACTAAATCCTTATTATTAAATACTAAATACTTATCTAAAAACTGACAAATGAGTTTGCAATAATTATAGTATTGTTTTTCGGAAGAGCATTTCACGACGTCGAGGTCATGCTGAACTCTCTGTCTCAACAAACGAGCTAATAAACTTGAAGACCACCGGCAGGAGCTCCTCCTTTGCCAAAAGAACACCGCAGGATTAAACTTCACCTTTAACTTGAAATGAGAATTTTACCGTGAATTTAACTGGAAATACGGTCAAATACGACTCCTCTGCTCCCTTTGGGCAGTGATGTTCATCTATCTTCGCAAAATATTGCGACTTAAGTGAAGGCAAAACGACTTTAATGTAGGCGAATCGACTCAGATCGCGTAGGCGAAACAACTTTGGCCGTGTAGCCGAAACGACTTCGATGTAGGCGAAACGACTGACATCCCTGTTTACAACTTTCCAACTCAGTAGCGCCCTTCGTTTGGAAACCAGCGCATGTTGAGTTTCGAAGTTATGGCGGTGCGTCACATAATGCTACGATCGCGTTTGGCGAAAAATATGTATTTCACTCGTTTTTTTTTACGCCATTTAAGACGTTGTCGTGTTTGGAAAAGTGCTTATTTAAATGTGTATTTGTTCAGTGAAGATAATCATTGCCCCAGATAACCAAAGTAAGTTCCAGATGTTAACACTATTTTCCGGCCGCCATATTGGTGTA